CATGAGACTGTCCGGCACAAAGTTGTACGCGAGAGGACCAACAACACCACCTTCCGGGACGCCTTTGAACACGTCCACCGTGCTGAGTCCACTGAGCGGGATAACTACCCGGTCCCATTCCAGAATGGACCCCAACAGAGCAAGCGAACCACCACGAACACCGCCATGATCGTGAAGGAGGCCCACCAGCTGAGCACGCCATGTACGAGGAAAGCATGGACAAAGTCGCCGTGCACCATCCAAGTGGGACTGCAGGCGTCCAGGCGGGCAGCCACAAGTTCATGAAGCACTAGGTGCGTGTCGCCAGCGTCACGGATGTAGCCACTCTGGCCGTCCAGGAGCCTATGCCGAGGAGGAGCCTGAAGGCGGAGAGACAGCAAGCCTTCCTGCAGAAGCCCATGTTGGCACATGACGCACAGCAGCCTGTAGCTTGACGAGGCCGCCCACGGACCGCGCTTGTACCTGGAGCCCAGAACCCGATAGCGCCAAAGACGGGGACGGAGGGCCAGGACACCAGGGCCAACCAGCAGCTGCAACTTCCACGTGGCATCGTCCCGCACAGGGAGGCGCAAGCGGAACGCCGCGCGCGGCAGCAGATCAGGCGTGGTGGCGGAAGACTCGTCCCAAGCATCCACGACCCGGAACACCTCCCACTGCAGGATTGGCGAGTCGGCGGCATAACGTCCGATAGCCGCTTGGGCGGAGCGCAACACACTGGAAAGATGGGCATCGACTTGTGCGACGACAGCCTCTGGGCAGGGCTGAGTGGGGACGCTTTGCTGGATAAGCTGGCGGCGCCAAGCTGCATGCGACACTTCCTGGGACAAGGCAACAGAACCATTGACAAGGCGTGGGGGAGGATGTGGAAGACGCCGACGAAGAAGACGAAAACAGTAAGATAAGCCGCGACGAAGGTCAACACCCCCACCTGTGGAAGGCCCGGCGGCTTGATGAACAGAAGCTGCAGGATGACGTCGGGCACGCAACGAACCAAGCGGCAGCACGCAGGTGTCCCTGGCCAGACCTTCAATGATTGCCAAGAGGAGCGCAAAACAATCCCCCAGCCATTGCGCACACGCCCGCGTCGGGCGTACAGACTGGCCCGACAGCCACGTAGACGAGAAGTGGTGCGCCAGAACTCCCAGTCTCTCCAAAGGGCCTGAGATGTCGGAGAGCCCAGCACGCCACGCATCGCTATTTAGCCATTCCCGCGGCATCGAAAGCGCAGCGGCGCCACCAGGACCAAGTGCAAGAATGCCCAAATCAGCTTCGAGTAAGAAATGGTCTCCCAAACCAAACTCCAAGCAGCCTGGCCAGCGACGCGGGTGGCAATGGAGGCTGTTGTGAATAGATGTGGAAAGCAACAGCTCAGGCGACGCCAGCACCAGATCGATCGCCCGAGACTGTCCGGGACCGTGGTGTGTGTCGCCGCAACGAATACTGATTGTATTGCCACGGAGCGGTAAGGTCACGTCCTGGACGGATGACCCCAGGAGACTGGGGTTGCGGAGTGCCAATCCCGACCGAGTGACGAAGCCACTCCACAGCCTATCCCGGAGCGGGAGCAGGTCTCTACCACCGCCAAGAGCGGCCGGTTGAACGTTGGCGTCACCCAGGCACAAGAGGTGCGCCGACGGGAACTGCCCCCGCAGAGTGTGCACATCAGTCTCCAAGCCGGCCAGTTCGGAGGACCATGCTTGATCACAACTCGCTGGAAGGTAGAAGAAACACACTAAGAGAAGATTCGCGGACGCGGTGCGCATGACCAGCCATAGCCGGCGGTCAGAACCCACCCCGTCGAGGGCATCGAAATGCTCCTGCAGGTCCAACGCCCAGACCACCGCGATGCTACTGTACGACGGCCCCCCCCGCGCCAGCACTCCCAGGCCAGACGAAGGGGGCAGCGAAAAGTCTGGAGGTAGACGCGCCCCAGGAAGGCCCAGCATGTTCAGCCCGAGCTGCGCCATGGCATGCTGGACGGAAGTGGGATGATTGAGTAGACGCCGCCATAAGACCCGGCGGCCTCGACGATCAAGGCAACCGGTAGGGCCGGGATTTCCCATGCCAATTCGCAACTGGCGCCGCGCAGGCGGTGAGGCCGCAGCGGCGTCAGGAGGCAGCGGAAGCCTGGACAGCGCCGCACTGGCCAGTTGCAGACCGGAGCATAGAGCATCCCAGAGCTCGTCCGCACTGCCAGGAGGGCAGGGGGGGGGCGCCACACCACCCGGACGGGCGCGCTTGAGCCGTTCACCTTCACGCAAAAGGCGGCACCACAGATCGCGAACCAGTGTCAGGGCCGCCGGAGGCACGAAGCAAGGACGAGTGGGCTGACGCTGGAAGTCGTGCGCCACGCCCCACTGGTCCAGGAGAGCATGGAGGGCCATGGCGCCGCAAGGGCAGGCAACCGAGCCAATGATTGGAGCCGAAATGGAGCGCCGTGGAGCCTGCGGGGCAGGCCGCAAGGGGGGCTGGCAGTCGAGCCCAAGCTACGGTCGACATCGCGTAGAAGTGCCCGGCACGCAGCGGGTCCATGGTCGCAAGTGCGCCCCCCTCGCCTCTTGCGGGGGCCAACCTGCAAGTGCAGGCGCCGCCAAGTGGCGGGAAAGCATCCGAGGCACGCAGAGACGCAAGAGGAAGAGGGGCACGACGGAACAACATCGGGGGTCACATAATCTCGGCCATTCGGCCTGGACACGACAGCTAACACCACACACCGAAGCCCGAAAAAGACGCAGCGTTCTGACAGAATGGGAGCCGAATCCGAACGGTGGCACGAGGGGGGGACAACAGCCGGCGCCCCGCAACAGCCGGCACCACCGAAAGGGGGAGGCAGAAAAACTACGGGGGACACTTTTCTCGGCCACGCGGCCTGGACACGAAGGCCAGCACCACACACCGAAGACAGCAGGCCAGTGGTCGAAAAGGTCGCAGCGCTCTGACAGAATTGGGAGCCGAATCCGAACGGTGGCACGAGGGGGGCCCCAGAAGCAGCCGGCGCCCCGCAACAGCCGGCACCTCCGAAGGGGGAGGCCAGCCCGTCGGATAGGAGAGGGAGCGCACCAACAGACGCACAAGACGGGAGCACAGGGAGACAGGGAGGGCGAGAGCGACGAAAAGGGAGGGCAGCGACGAGGAGGAGGTGAGGGACAGGGGGGGGACAACGAAGCAAGAGGGAGGAAGGGAAGAGGAGAAACAAGGCGCAGTGCGAGGAAGGACAGAACGCGATGTGCTGCATTTCGCGCCAAGTGGCGGGCGCCAGTGCGCAGGCGACGGGGCACGCCAAGTGGCGGGCGCAATTGCGCAGGCATGTTCATGCCTCACGCCGCCAGGAGAGCGCCACCACCCAGGCGATCACATCAGCGACCCTAGGGCCCAAAGACCCGAGGAAGCCGGGCGGAGGGGGACGAGGCAGATGAGAGACGAGCGGGATGGGACTCGGCGAAAGCCTGCCTGAGGCGCCCCGCAGGGGAGGACGAGCCGCGTCCAGCACGTAGCGACGAGGGCAGGAGGGCAGCAGGGGCAGGGGAGGGGGCAGGGGAGGGGGCAGGGGAGAGGGGGCAGGCGAGGGGGCAGAGGAGAGACGAGCGGGACGGGACTCGGCGAAAGCCTGCCTGAGGCGCCCCAGAGGAGAGGCCGAGCCGCGCCCAGCACGTCGCGACGAGGGCAGGAGAGCAGCAGGGGGCAAGGGAGGGGACAGGGGAGAGAGCCGAAAAGAGACGAAGGGAGGGGACAGAGGCGGGGAGAGGGGGCAGAGGAGAGGAGCAAGGGGAAGGAGGGGAAGGGAAGGGGAAGGGGGGGGGGGAGCCAGGCGGAGAGCCACACCCGCCGGCTCCACAGAGCCCCTCCGGCCCCATAGGCCCCGCCGGCCCCACAGGAGGGGGCCCAAGCACCACCCACGCCGCCGCAACCGCATGGCGGCATCCGGCAGGATACAGCGCGACGCCCGGCCTGCTGCGGGATGCCCAGCACGCTCGCGAGGCCGCCGTCCACCAGCTCGTAGGCGGAGGCCGCCAAGGAGCGCAGGCTCCGCATGGGGCGGCGGGAGCGCCGCTCCGGGAGAGCCCCGCCCCCTAGAGCTCCTCCCCGCCCCTTGAGCTCCTCCTCCTCCTCCTCCTCCTCCTCCTCCTCCTCCTCCTCCTCCTCCTCCTCCTCCTCCCTCCTCCTCCACCTCCGCCTGCCGCCCGTGCGCCCGCGCACGGCGGCAGCTCTTCGGGAGCCGCGCAGGTCCTCGCAGCGTGCCGTCCTCTGGAGCGCAGCCGCGTGCGTCAGCGTCTGGTCATCGACTGTGGGGCCGCCGTTTCCAGCGGCGACTCGCCTCGACTCGGCGTCGACCGGCGTCGATTCGCGTCGGCTGGCGTCGATTCGCGAGAGCCAGCAGGATGGCATGACCTGCGGCGAAAGAGCGACCTCGGGGATGGGTCCAGGAACTCTTGGGCCGACGACAAAGTACGAGAGGTAGAGAGAGAGAGAGAGATAACATACACATATATATATATACATATGTGTATATATATGTATATGTATATGTATATGTATATGTATATGTATATGTATATGTATACGTATATGTATATGTATATGTATATGGAAATGTATATGTATATGTGTATATATATATATATATATAGAGAGCCGCAGCCCAGGCGCACGAATTTTGGGCATCTAGAAAGAAGCAAAGGTCTGCTGACATTCAATTGCCATATTAGTTGCTAGCATTTAGTGGCCTTCGGTCATCCCGCCACCGTGCCTTGGTTGAGGGTATGAAGCCTACTGGATGTTCGTTTGGGGTCTCGTGGGAGGCCTCTCGGGGGCCTCTTGGAGGCAGTTCGGAGGCCTCGTGGGGCTGCTCGGGGGCCTTGGGGGCCTCTTCGGGGCCTCTTCGGGGCCTCTTGGGGGCCTCCTGGGCGCCTCTTAGGGCCTTTTCGTTGCCATTTTGCAGGCCCCCCCACGAGCTGCCGCAGAGCCCGCTGCCGTCGTGTGCCTCGTCGGCGCCCCCGCAGCTGGACGGTGGACCTCAACGGGGCCGGCTGCGGCTGCAACGTCGGGTTCTACCTGGCGTCCATGGGGCAGAACACCGAGCCCTCCTCCTGCGAGGAGCGGCCTGGGCGATGGAGGAGGAGGAGGAGGAGGAGGAGGAGGAGGAGGAGGAGGAGGAGGAGGAGGAGGAGGAGGAGGAGGAGGAGGAGGAGGAGGAGGAGGAGGAGTAGGAGGAGGAGAGGAGGAGGAGGAGGAGGAGGAGGAGGTGGAGGAGGAGGGAGGAGGAGGAGGAGGAGGAGGAGGGAGGAGGGAGGAGGCGGAGGAGGAGGAGGCCTCGGGAGGAGGGAGCCGGATGGGGGAGGAGGGGGCGCGGACGGCCACGACCAGCCTCGCATCGGACAGGGAGGATGCTGAGGCTTTTCCTCCTGCTCCTCCTCCTCCCTCCCTCACTTCCTCCTGCTCCTCCTCCTCCTCCTGCTCCTCCTCCTCCTCCTCCTCCTCCTCTCCTCCAACCCCCCCGGGGGCGGCGGGGATCCTCGCTCCTCCTCCTCCTCCTCCTCCTCCTCCTCATCCTCCTCCTGTGTATTTTGTGAGGCTCCTGGGGCCGGGCCCCCCCCCCCCGACGCCAGAGGAGTTGTGAAAGCGTTCTCCGCTGCTTCCTTCTCACTGCCCGACAGGCTCGGGCCGCTTGATCTTGCAGGAAACGAGCTCCCGACCCGCCTCGCGCACCCTGCAGATGGCGGCCGCCGGGCCCAACGTGTGCCGGTGGCCCCTGGGGGTGTCCCGCCTCGCGTCTTCGGCGAAGGGCACGCTGCGTGGCGCGGCCGCCGGGCCACAAGTTTTGGGGGTGCTCCCTGGGGGTCCCGCCTTGCGTTCTCGGGTGGAGATTGCTCGAGTCAAATTCTGATGTTCTCCTTCCTTCTTCCTTCGGCCTCACCCCAACATGCTATTACAGTCGGGGCGCTGAGGAAGGAACCCTTTTCGTTGGGGAGGGGCTCGGTGTTCCTTAGTTGTTTTGTAGCTCGCCTTTGGTTTTGCTTAGGGTTTCAATGGGAAATCGAAATTTAACTTATGGGAAAAAGGGGCCTCGTTCCTTATTTAGGGTTCTTTAGGTCAACGCCTCGACTGTACTGTGTGTGTGTCGGCCCCAAGGGGCGACGCGCACGCCGGGAAAGCTCATAGTATGTCAGCCAGCGTGGACCCCAAGCAGTGTGTTTCTAGTAATGAATGTTGTGCAATGTATGTTGGGCATTCTATGTGGTGCAATCTAGGTTGTGCAAACAATGCTGTGCAATCTCTGTGTTTCCATCTAGCTGGTGCTGTCTATGTTGCACAAACTATGTTGGGCAAACTACGTTTTACGATCTATGTTGTGCAATCTATGCGGTGCCATCTAGGTTGTGTGCCATCTAGATTGCGACATATCTTGTGCGATCTATTTGGCGCAGGCTATGTGGTGCAGTCTGTGTGGTGCGATATCTATGGTCAGTATATGCAGTGCGGTCTATGTGGTGCGCAATCTATGTTGTGCCATCTATGGTGTGCAGTTCACTTTGACTGTCTTGAAGATGTCCCCTCCACTGCTCGTGCAAACATCCCACCCTCCCACCCGCAACGTGGTCGCAAGACTTCTTAAGACCGTGACGGTGGGTACCAAATGGCACTTGGCAGCGACAGCGACGCCGACGACGACAGCGACGACGACGACGCCGACGACGACGACTACTACGACACTGACGACGTCTCCGACGACTTCGACGACGAAGACGACGACGACGACAGCGACACCGACGACGACGACGCCGACGACGACGACGGTGACGACGCCGACGACGACGACGGCGACGACAACGCCGACGACGAGGACGACGACGACGACAACGACGACGACGACGCCGACGCCGCCGCCGACGACGACGATGACGATGACGCCGACGACGACGACGCCGACGACGACTACGACGACACCGACGACGTCTCCGACAACTTCGACGACGCCGGCAACGACGACGACGACGACGACGGCGACACCGACGGCGACGACGAGTGCCATCTATGGTGTACAGTATATGCGGCCCGATTTTTGTCGTGCAATCTAGGTGTGTCGATCTATTTTGTGCAATCTATGTGGTGCGATCCATTTTGTGCAACCTATGTGGTGCAATCTCTGTGGTGCAATAGTTGCGTTGCATTCCACGTGGTGCAATCAATGTGTTGCCGCGACGAGGCGGCGACGCCGAGCACCAAGCCGCCAGACCGACATTCAGGCCCAGACGATGGGCGGCGACGAGGCGGCGACGGTGCGGCGACGGCGAGCACGGAGCAGCCAGACCGACATGCAGAGCCAGTTCTTTATCAGAGAAGTGAGAGCCCCTAAGGGCAAGCAGCGTTTGGGGAATAAGCTACGTGGTGGGCGCTGTCTGGTCATACCGCTCGGGAAACGATATACGGTCGGACCGAGGTAAAAGATCGAGGTCGGTTCGGGGAGGGTGCTCTACTGTTCTTCGTGTTTGTTGGAAATTCTTGTGCATCCTGGGGGATGGCACCCCCGAATGCTCTTCAGCTTGGGCCGGCGGAGGGTCCCATGTTCTCGAAGGAGGTTCTTCTGCCCCAGGTCCGACTGTATCCGACTGTACTACAATATTGTTGTACTGTACGTTCGGGTCGGGCGCACGCCTGTAAGGAGGACACATAGTGCTAGTATGTTCTTGTGCGTCCCGTGACTCCTCCGTCTGCCGCCCCCCGCTTCCTTTCCTTCGCCTGAGGGGAGCCGGCGCCGCGGCAGAGGGGCGGTGTCCGCGCGATACCGCCGCGTCCTCAGGACTACTACTGCGACGCGAACGCCGTGTGCGGCATCAACTGTCACGAGATCGACCTCCAGGAGGCGGAAGGGGGGGAATCAGGAATAGAGGGAGGAGGGAGGAGGGGAGGTGGAGGGGGATGAGGACGCGGATGGGGATGAGGCGGGGGGGTTAACAGGGAAGAAGGGAGGGAATCATGTCGTAGGTGGCGGGGGCGGATGATGATGATGCTGATGATGATGACGATGATGATGACGATGATGATGATGATGCTGATGATGATGATGACGATGACGATGACGATGATGATGATGCTGCTGATGATGATGATGATGACGATGACGATGACGATGACGATGATGATGACGATGCTGATGACGATGACGATGATGATGTTGCGGATGATGATATTGATGACAATGATGATGACGATGCTGACGATGACGATGACGATGATGACGGTGATGATGACGATGATGATGATGACGATGACGATGACGATGATGATGCTGATGACGATGATGATGCGGATGACTATGCTGATGTGGTTGTTGGTGATTGTATTGATGGTGCTGCTCATGATGTATATGACGATGCGGATGATGACAGATGATACTTAGGCCGAGCATCAGTCCGATGCTAACAAGGGTGCATCTGGTGCTGGCGATGAAGATGATGACTAGAATGTCAATGAGCACAATGTTGAGTGATGACCATGATGATGCTGCTGCCGATAATGACTTTGATGATGACGGTGATGGTGATAGTGATGGTGATCGTGATGATGATGATGATGCTGCTGATGTTGATGAGTATGACGATAAGGATGATGATGACGATGATCACGACGATGCTGATGATGGTGCTGATGATGATGCTGATGATGACGATGCTGCTGACGATGATGATGACGATGACGATGATGATGATGGTGATTATGATGATGGTGAGGATGAGGATGCTGCGGATGATGACTGTGATGCTGACGATGTTGATGATGATTATGATGACGATGATTATGATGATGTTGTTGATGATGATGATGATGATGATGATTGTGATTATGATAATGATGATTATGACGATCATGATGTTGCTGATTCTGATGTTGATGCTAATGCTGATGCTGATACTGATGCTGATGATTATGATGATGACGATGATGATGATGATGATGATGATGATGATGCTGATGATGCTGTGAATGATGATGGTGATGATGGTGGTGGTGGTGGTGGTGGTTACGATGATGATGCTGCTGATGATGACGACGATGATGATGATGATGATGATGATGATGATGATGATGATGATGATGGTGATGGTGATGCTGATGCTGATGCTGATGCTGATGATGATGATGATGATGATGATGATGATGATGATGATGATGATGCTGATGCTGACGTTGAACATGGTTGTGCTGACGATTCTGATTACCATGATGGTGATCAGAACAGAACGATGAACATTGGAGAGGATGAGGATGAGGATGAGGGTGAGGATGAGGATGAGGATGCGGAGGAGGAGGGTACGGAGGAGGAGGAGGAGGAGGAGGAGGAGGTGGAGGAGGAACAGTAGCGCCAGCGGTAGTCGGCGGCAAAAGTGGGCAGTGTCAAGAGGGGGGGATGGGCTTCTCGGGGAACTCGCCTAACAGAATGTGCCGGGTGCGCATGGTCTTGAAGGGGCCGATCTCTTCCAAGAAGTTCCATGCCTTCTTGGAAGGCCGCCTTCTTGGGCTTGTGGCCATGTTCCCTTCTCCTTGCGCCTCTCCCGGAGCTCCCGATCCATCTCCAGGGCAAGTTACTTCGTCATGAGACGTTTTTGCTGATCGTCCCAGGGCCCGAAAACGGCCCATGGATGTCGAAATCGGGAAATCCGACCTTTGTTTCTTTTTCGCAGCGCCTGGAGGTCCAGGTCAAGGCCCTTGAGGGCTCATATCGATCCGACTCGATATCGATTTTCCAAAGGTTCGACGTGGCCCAATGCTTGCACGGCGTACTTGTGCATCTCTGCGAGGCCCATTCGATTCGGACTCCGTGCCCGTACGGCACGGTTCGATGCGCATGTCGATCCGCTTCGATTTCGTGTTTCGTTGTCGACTGCAACTGATTCGTAAGTTTAGTTCCGCGTTTGATTCTGACCCGCGGACGTTCGTGGATGTCCCCAAAGACCTCTGGCAGCTTCCAGAGGTCCAGAGAGGGCAAGGAAAATCACAAAGCGGCTCGATCCTCGATCCCCGAGCGTCGTGGGCAGCAAGCAGCACGCTGGCCTGCTCGCCGCCGATCGGCGTCGCGTCTGTTCACACATGCTTCCGTGCCTTCTGCCGCGGGACGGCTGGGGATGCCTTGCTCTCCAGGGATCCATGGGCCTGTCGTTCCCGTGATGCGAGCTTCACTGGGGATGTGCAGGCGCCACGTTTGGTTTGGGAGAAATATACGTCACTGTTTCTCCCTGTCCCCGCCCCCCCCCCCGAGTGGCGATCCGGAGAGTCAAGACGAAGAGGTCCAATCCAGAATCCGAATCCAGAATCCAGAATCCAGAATTCCGGATTGGACCTTTCCGGAAAGACTCTCCGGATCACCTCTCCCCCCCCCTGGAGAGCAATGCGTCGCAGTTTCTGAGCCCTGCGCGCTGCAACCCACAAGAAAAGCGTGGACGCACGGCCGCCGCGCGTCGCCGCCACTCTCCCTGAGCCGCCTCATGCTCGTTGGGCCCCGACCCGGACGTGATGCCTCCGGCCGGCGGCGCTGCTTCGGCCCTCTGTGTCGTGCAGGCACGGCGTTGCGCTCGCCTGGCTCCAGCTTGGGTCGGAGGCTGACGGACCTCCTACCCTGACGCGTCGAGTAGCGAATTGGCCATCGGTTCGCCGTGAGGGCGTCGCGGCCATGCTTGCGGGTCCAGGTCCGTCGGTTTTCGGTCCGAGGCCGTTTTCATCAAAGGGTGGTTTACTAAAGTTATGATGTTCCAACCTGCTTTAGCCTTGGCCGCCAGAAATAATTTTCGAGCACCAGAAAACGTACAGAAAATCAAGGGTTTTCACGTGTCGGGCCTTGGGAGACACTCGCCCGAAACTGTTTCGACACTGTTTCGACACTCTTTCGACACTTTTCCAGGTGCTCGAAATTATTTCTGGGATGTGGTCCTTAAGTACGATGGGAGCAACATAATACTAAAGGGAGGTTTGTCCACCGCCGACCGGGAGCGGTGGCCCAGGCCAACACGCACGCGTGGTTCAGCACGCTGCACCTCGGGGACGACAGCGACGGCTCCGTGCTAGGACCGCTCGCCCTCGCTTCGCGAGGGGGGGGGCGCAGCGGGGGTGCGGTCTGCTCGTCCTCGTCGTTCTCGCGGGGAGGGCGCAGGGAGGAGGGAAGGAGGGCGGAGGAGAGAGGGAGGGAAGAGGAGGGCGGAGGGTGAGGGAGGAGGAGGGGGGGGGAGGAGAACAGAGGGAGGGGCAGGGGGAGGAGGAGGAGGAGGAGGATCATGAGGAGGAGCACGAGGACGAGCAGGAGGAGAGGGAGGAGGAAGGAAGAGGATGTACTCGGATGGAGGAAGTAGGAGCAAGAGGAGGTGGAAACTTTTGACCGCCCAAGCGTCTTGGGCGCGTCGAGAGCAGCGCGCAGGCCATCGCTAGGCCCACCACGCCGCTGTTCCCCATACCGCACAGGTGAACTGCGACGGCAATTGTTCTGCCGACCATGCGCCGCCTCGACAAAGAGAGATACTTTCAAACAGACGGCAAGAACCACAAACATTGACAGTACAATCGTTAGCCGCACAAGCATCAAGATGCAAGATGGCAGTGCAACCACCATCGTTTCCAAATTGGCCAAACAATCCCCAACAGTCTTTTGAGGTGGTTCCAACTTGGAAGTATCATGCTCAGTTGGGCAATCGTCAGCAATTTGTTTATTATCAGCCCCATCCTCAAAGGAGGAAGTTATAGCCCAATCATTACTGGCATGACGTAGAATACAGAAGCAGCTCCGCGAAGAGAAGTGAACGACATCGTAAAGCACCCTTTTTTCGAGCTCACGGCCAAACGGTCTCATTGCAACCATGTCTGTTTCATGAGCAGAATGGGACTCAAGAAAGCAGGCGCTTGTGCATCTTCCCACGCACCGGTTCGTCCTACCTGACGTTGTCCTGAGCATCGGTCTCACCGCGCCCGCTCCATCGTATACTCCTCGGCTTGAGCTGCACAAAGAGGTTGATGCAGAGCACGCTTCAGAAGAAGTTTCAGCAGAGCGCAGAGATTCAATAAGCTTGGGCACATTGATTCCATGCCATCTGGGACGATCACACTGGTACTTGTTTCTCAACACTTGGAGACTTAGTCGCCTATGTCGGCCGACACAAATTCATCTGTACGACAAGGGGCGGAGGTTTCAAGGGAAGGTGAGGCCCCGAGGTGCAGTCTTCGACATCTTCGGATACCCAGACAACATATGCCTTTTTGCAAGGGAAGGGATGGCGGAGGCCCCGAGGCGCTACCCACGACACACTCGAAAACCCACAGCCATGCTGAAAGTCCATCTCTGGTCGCACAAGAGCCGAGGGATGACGTTGATCACAACAGTTATCCAGAGGTGCCAGAGGTTCGAGTTGTTGTGCAATTGCTGTCGCCCCAACGTCCGGCTTGCCACTGTCTACTCGACGCATACGGCAGTCTGTGTGATGACCCAGGTGACATTACCCAGTGTTCGCATCATTGGTATTAAGTCGGGCCTGTCCCTCTACAGGAGGTATATTCAAAAATAGTCACACAATAGTCCGGAGACTAATTTTTTATTATTTTTGATTTTTTTTGGTTATTTTCTTGGTTTTTGTTTGTTTTCGTCCGAAATCCCCCTGTAGGGGGACAGGCCCGACCTAAAATTGGTACCACCATTCCATTTGCACGATCCGAGAAGAGAGGGGCGCATGCAGAGAATTTTCAAGCTGAATTCGTGGCGAAACGAAGGCGGACACGCAGAACACCAGCTGTGCGAACGCCCCACTGTCGGACATGGGAATTGACCTGGGCAGTGCATCGACTGAGGCAGGCATTTTACGTCCGGCGCTTCAAAGCTGGTGCGACGAGACAGGCCGGTAGTTTGATGCAACAGCGTAGTGTCACAGCGCAGTCCTCATCACCAGCATCATCATTATTAGCAGTAACGTCATCTTCGGCATTTGCTTCACCATCGCCATCTGGAAATATGAGGCCCCAAGGGGAATTCATTTTCCGAGCACTGTCTATTTTGCGTCGAGGGAGTTGGAGGTTGGCGGGAAGATGGGAAGGATTGCGTGGCCAGAGTACCGCGCTGTACCCAGGACCTTCAGTGAGGGCATTTTCCTTCAAGACCCTAGGTCGGGGCATTCTTTACATCGTTGCTTCCCTTCTTGTAGCGCAGTCTCATCATCCGTTTCGTCTTCGCCGCCATGAGGGCGGTTGGGGTTGATTCGGATCATGATGGGGCGGGTCGGGCGGGGCCTTTCGCTGAACAGGCTCGCGCCGACAGCGTCGTTGCCGGTATAGCCTTCTGTCAGCCCGAACGTCGTAGGTTCTGTCGTAACTCTCTCCTCCCTTTCGGTCCACTCACCCTCCCCAGCGTCTATCGCATGCCACTTCTGATCGGTATCGCACTCCCGCCATGTATATGGGGACATTTGAGTTGTTTAAGCTTGCGCGCTCTGATCACTTTCATGACCTTCGGTGCGGGCCGCAACCCTGAAATATCAATATTAGGAAGTCCTGGAGGATAATGAGGGGTTAAGATGATGATGATGATGAGGAGGAGGAGGAGGAGGAGTAGGAGGAGGGGGAAGAGGAGGAGACGATGTCTGCCACGGTGGTGGCGGAGGCCGCCGTGATGGTTGGACCATCAATCGTAGTAATCCTGGTCCACTCTTGTCGAGCGTGCGGCCGTGCCTGCAGAGTGCGCGTTCCGTCGGTGAGGATCGGGTTGATCGCTGCGCGCAGCGCCGAAGCAGAGCATCGTATCATAGGCTCTGGAGCTTACCCTCGGTGAGGGTCCTTGTATATTGGGGCGGGGTGGTGGTCTGGATGGAAGGTGGTGGAGGCGGGAGAGGGGGACAGTTCAGCATATTGCGCATCGATATTCCCCGAACCGCATTCGAAATGTTGAAAACGAGCCGCATTTAATTTGACCCTTGGTGAATGCAATCGTGGAGCATAGATCCGCGGACATTTCTGCCTAACGGAATAACTCTGGAACAAGGCCTCCGTTGGGGTCAGCGTGTGCAGGCAGCGTCGGCCAGAAGAGTAGGCCTTGGGCAAATGTTGCACCTGATCGTTGGGAGTGTCGGGGGGGATATGGGGGTGGTGGGAGTGAGGTGGAGGAGGAGGAGGAGGAGGAGGAGGAGGAGGAGGAGGAGGAGTGTCCACGACTTCCTCGGTGTAGGCGTCAATCATACCTCAGGGCATTTCGACCACTACGTTGCCGCGCTTCAACTTCGCCTTATCCTTCGTGTCTTTTTGAAGTTTCACCTGGAGCAGACTTAACTGCAGCGCCGCATGTGCCACCGCAAACCCTGAATGAAGGGATTGATCTTGCCGCTGCTTGGAGGAGGATGTCGAGGCTACGTGTCAGCGGATCAGACACGAACTGAGGCGCCAGCCTGCAGCCAGCCCAACCTCAAGGCATCTTTCAATTGGCCTGGTATTAAGCATCAGCATCGCACGTGCCATTCTTGCCGGCCCTTTGAACGAACATCTATCCGTGTATATGTCGGCACCATATTGGCATTTTAGTGGCATCTGGCCTTCGACTGTTTCGAAAGTATGAGCGCCAGCAGTTTGATTGCCAGCTGTTTTTTCTGATAATTAGCTTTTGCGTATGTCATGTATGTCTCTCGAAGTATTTTCACTCCTACTGTCTGTTGATGCCTGTTCAACCTGGCTCTTATGAGTTGTGTGCTCCGCCTGGCAGAGACTACCTACCAGCGCTGTGCTTCGGCAGTGAGCCTGGGCCGCTGAGCGTCGCAGAGAGCTAAAACGGGCACAGGGACGAACGAAGTCAACACACGCACACAACCCACCAACAAACCCTTCACTCGTGCTCCCGTGGCCCGAAGCCCATCTGGCCATCGACGGTCTCTGAAGTATGAGCGCCAGCAGTTTGACTGCTAGCTGTGTAATCCGATTGTGAGTTCATGCTTATGCCATGTTTTGTCTCTCGAAGTCTCTTCACTCCTACTGTCTGCTCATGCCTGGTCAATCAGGCTCGTAGGTGTTGTGTGCTCCGCCTGGCAGGGACCACCTTCCAGCACTGTGCTTCCACAGTAAGCCTGAAGCGCTGTGAGCGCTGCAGAGCTAAAACGGCCACAGGGACGAATAAAGCCAACGCGCGCACAAGACCACCAACCAGTCCTCCCCGGCTGGGGCCAGGGCGAGGGCAGATCCGTTCCAGGGCGCTCCAGGACGCTCTTTGAGCGCTCCGGAGCGCTCCGAGAAGGCCGCGGCGCCCGAGACATCCTCCACGGCCGCCGCATCTCAGAGATTCTCGACTGATCCTCACCCGATTGTGTCCTCGTCCAAAGTTTTTTTTTTGTTTGTATATAAATTCTGGGATTCGTTTTATCTTCGCTCGTGCCCCCGTGCGCCCGAAGATGCCACGACCGAGTCCTCGCGCGCCCCTGCGCCAGCGGCACCGCCTGCGGGCAGCCCGGCCCGAGCTCGCCGGGCCGGGCGCCGAGAGGACGGCCCAGACCGCGGCCCCGCGGTCCCGCGGCCTCGCGGCACGGCGGCCCCGGGGAGGCCGGAAGCAGCCCAGGAGGTGGACCCGGCCACCTTTTCGCAGCTGCCCAGAGCCCCCGGGAGCAGCCGAGAGCGGGGTGAGGACCTTAGTCTGCACGCCCGAACTGGGTACAGAAAGAGTGGGCACAATGCCCAACAGCAATTCCTGTTCATTTTGAGCAGGGTTCGCTGTCCACGCCGCCGCGGCGTGTCCATTCGAGGCAGAAGGCCGACTGCCCAACAGCGGCCGCTGTTGGTTTGGGACAGCATTTGTTGTGGGGCATTGTGCCCATTTTTTCCGTACCCATTTCGGGCGTCCAGACTTAGGGGTGGGTGGATATCATGGCGTGGGCCATGATGCTTCCTGAGATGTCATGGCGACTCCTCTATTTCCATTGCGTCTCCGGACCCCCCCTGGGCCGCGCACACGCCGCCGGCCATGATTTGCGCCCCCCCCCCCCCCCTCGGACGCTCCCCTCTGGGCCGCCCCCGAATCCCAGACCCCCTGGCGTGAACAAACTCACGACGGAAGGTTG